GGATCACAAACTGCCACGCTGTGGTCCCAGTCAGAAAGCACTGGAGTGGCTGCCGGCCCAGCAGGCCAGGCTCCCGTGACTCTGCCCGATGGAAACGCTGCCCTCATGTGACAGTCTCCGTGTCATACCCCTTTCACTCCTTTCAGGTCCCCCTTCAGCAAACTGTCCAAAGGGAAGGAGATTATGTTGTTCATATTCTGAATCTGAAAAACAAAAGCAGAATATTCTCATTCAACCTCTTTGTTAATGGGAGGGAAGGACAGCAAAGATGCTGGAAAGAACATTTGGTAACAATTAACTCCACTTAAAACCTGGCCGGTGCAGGTATGATCACCTTATTCAGTCTTGAGTTCTTTGTAATGATTTGATCTTACAAATGAATATATAACCAATGAAAAGACTAGATCTGTACATTTTTTTGCAATAATTATCTCCTATTGCCAAGTTATGTAGTTTGAAGAAAAATACTTCAAAACAGTCAATGATAGAATCACGTTCAAAAGCCTGGAATAAACGGAAATACCCACTGCCTGCCTTGCGCCCTGCCCAGCCCACACACGCCAGGGTCTGTGCTCAGGCCGGAGAGCCCAGACTCTGCAGTGAGCTCCTCACACAGGAATCAGAAGGGGGAGCGCTGAGGGCAAATGCCGGGCAGGGAGGGTGTGTGACTGTCGGCTTGAGTATAAGGGCGTGAGAGTAGGTGTGGGGTGTGGGTGTGACAGAGGGTGAGGGCGTCTGTGACAGTGTGTGGTGGGTATGAAGGAGAAGGGTTGCTCAGGAAGGGTATAAACAGAGCAGGGGTAAGAGCCCAGGGGCCCTGTTCTCCCCAAGCAAAAGCTGAATGACTTCAATGGCCACCATGACCACTCAGCAGAGTCAGACGTGGGTCAGGGAGAGAAGCAAGGCTTCGAGCCGGAAGGACCTTCACAGATTCAGCTACAAACACAGGAAGATTCCCTGTGCAAGTGGAGAATGAGCTCAAGACCTACTTCCCTACTTCCCTGGGCTCAGATCACTCCCTTAATCAACGTACGGCTGCAGGGCCCCAGAGTCTTCAGTGCCACTCTGGGCTGCCTGCACCCAGATCACAGGCCCTAAAGGGGACAGACTAAAGAAAGGATTTTGGGACCTTGCACATTTATTCTTACAATCAAGTAAGAAAAAAATTATTTTTAGTATAATTACTTTAAATGACAAAACCATAGGCACCACTTTAAAGGCAATATGGGATCTAATTTCCATACACTATTCGGCATACTGAAATTTTAAATGTAGACAGAAATTCCCTTTAAAAATATTGATAAGGAATGTAATAATGCCAGCACTGACAACCACGTCTGCCGGGTAAATGATTCACAACTATCATCTGAGATGGGGCTGTTTTGGGTAACTTCTACTTAAGGGTTAAACAACTCAACACTCCTCCTGTCCCTGGCATTCCTCCAAGGTATGACGTAATCAGCTTGACCTTGCTAGGATTAGCCTCAGGAGCTCAACTCTGCAATACTGAAAAGCTCGGTTTAAGGTCTTACGGATGCCGAGGACCGAGGACCGGACCGAGGACCGAGGACCGGCTATGCTGGTGAATAATGTACAAGAACAAGCGCACCTGGCTGCCACTGTCACCAGGGTCGGAAGAAATGGGAGGAGTGCAGGTCTCACCACAGACCCCCACTTACTGAACGTCCCTCTGCCACACCAGCCCTGCTTCTTGCAGCTCTTAATTCCTGTAAACCCCCTCACTTGGCCCCTCGGAGTCGTCATGGAGGCTGTCTGTGCAGCACCTAGTCGCCCAGCTGTCAGGCATACACTCCACATAGCATGTCCCCCTCCACATCCCTGTGTGCCGTTCTCACATCCAGGTCTCCGTGGGCCTTGCTGCCCTGTCTCTGCTTCCTCCACTCCACCTTCACTCTTTATATTAGAGACCTGAGGTCATGTCTCAAAATAAAGACTACACTTCCTTGTTTGACACTCTCATGTTCAAATTCGGCCAGGTTTACTCTCCCCGCTCTCAGCTTCCCTGATTCCAAGCTTGTGCTCCACTTGCTGCGTCCAGCTGAAGCGTCCTCCCTCGTCCCCACTGCTCTCGCAGGCCCATCCACCTGGAGTCCCTCAAACACCACCTTCTCCATCCATTGAGCATCCCCATTCTCCACAGCAGAAAGTTACCCCTCCTTCCCCACACTCCTCTAATATCTTCCTTTTCCTACACTTCTTCAGCCACTTGGCAGCCTCTCTCCTCTGTTCATCTTGTCCATCTCACACCCAAGTTCTGGAGGGCAGCATCCCCCTGTATAACACTTTCCCTCCCCTACAGCTCTTCACATGGGGCTCGGCCCAGAGTAATGAAAAACACTAATGGAATAAAGTGATATACTAAATACTTTTCTGACCATCTAACACATGAGGGACAATCTACAGGGGCTTCTATTAACACCTTTAAAGCAGACGTCCTGCAGCAAAAACACGGGTGCTTCACTCACTCACTCATCCGGGATTATTTACTGAGTGTCTGTTTTACAGACAGCGGCAGGTGGCTACAAAGATAATGAAACACAATGCTTGCCTTCTCAGAGGATCAATAAATACACACAAACACACCAAAAATAAAAACTCTAAGACACACCTCACAGTAGCATATTTCACACTGACAGACACCTATGGTGCCTCACTGGTGAAGGGTGATGAAACGGTGGCTTTGGTTTTAAGCAGTCAATGTGGGCCTGTGAATAAGGGCAATTGTACCAGTACTGACCTGTGAGATGCTGCCCATTCATCTACATGTCACCCAAAGGCCACGTTCAGAGTCATCAGCACAGGTCTATTCAGTCCTGAACACTGCCTAGCAAGGGGCCAACACTATGCCATCTGGGATAAGGCACTTGCAAGACAAGGGCTGGCCAAACAGCCCAGAGCAGAGGAGCAGAGGTGCTTAGGGTGGCACGCTGAGTGGGAGACACCAGCACCACCCAGCTATGAGATGAGCTGGCGGAGGAAAAGATTCAGGTGCCCACACATTAAAAATCGCATTTCTAAGAATAATCCCGGTAGGTCTTTCATGAAGGGTGTGTGTGTGTGTGTGTGTGAGCATGACCGTATGCCTGAGTGAGTGGGAAAATGAGCTTCTCTGTAGCAGGGAAGAACATCAGCACAGTGTGGTTTCTCTGTTCATTTTGAGATTATCCATTATTTGATTGAAATAAGAACTGAGACACTAACAGCAGACGTGAGGGTGAGAAGAGGTAAAGCAAGCTTTGGTACCTACAGCAAAACATTCAAGTGGAGAATAGTGAACCGTCTGTGCACACCCACACACACTGGCCAGCCTGCATTCAGTCTTCATTTGTTTCAGCAGTGAGTGTGACCCTGCACGCTGGATGCTGGGGACAGGGCCCATAGTCTAGTGGCGGACGGGACACTCAACAGTACAACTTCAATGGCTGCTACAAAGGAGGCTCACGGAGCCCTGGGATAGCAGCAGAGAGGAAGCTGGAGAGGTACAGAGGAGTTAGGAGACAGGAGCAGAGGGGACCTTAGTCCTCAGGGTCCTCCCCTTTGGTTCAACAGGGGGGAAAACCCCTGTATCTAAGTGAACTACTCGGTGAAAATTCTGAGAACCATGGGGAAAACACTGGAATTTGAGAGAAGAGAAATCACGTTGCGTGGGGGACATGAGACAGAGGATGGTCTGCCTTATGAGATGGGGGTGGGGCGACCTGGGCTAAAGGAACAGGCTGGACGGTGGGCTGCGGTGCTGATGCAGGAGGCAGCAGCTGGAAAGCAGGGCTGGGGGGTCAGGTCAACCAAGGGGGCTCTGGCTTCATTTACAGCCAGTTTCTCTCTTTGGAGTTATTCAAATTACCCCAAATAGGAAACTATTACTTTTCTAATCAGAAAATAAATTATTGCAATAGAGACAGAAAAGTAGAGCAGTGGTTGCCTTGAGCTGGGGGAGTGGAATTAGTTAATTCCACTGTAAGAGGATCCAAGGACCTCAGCAGGGAGAAAACGTCCTAAAACTGCTCTAAGGTGATGGTCAAACCACTTGGTAGACTTCCTAGAAATCGACAACCTACACACTTGAAATTGGTGAGTTTTACCATCTGTAAGATGCTCCTCAATAAAGCCAGGGTTTTCTTACAAGAAATTCTTATAAGAGAAATATAAATAGAATCTCCATCATGGCTTTACTAACACAGCATTCATTCTTGCAGCCATTAGCCCATGTGCCTTCTGCGTGACCCCAACAGCACACAGGCCTCAAGACCTGGGAGAACTTCCCAGGAAAACTTCCCGGAAATGACCACTCTGGCAGCTGCTGGGCCAGGTGTGCCCCACGGCATGAAGGATGGCCAGGCTCTGAGCTGTTGCTCCTCTGCTGTGTCTGGGCAGCCTCGGGCCTACAGCTGGCCACAAGAGATGAAAACCACAGCCAAAAAAGATTACTGCACATCCCTTGTGCTCAGGCAGCTCCAGCCTCAATTTATGAGTAATGAAATTTTTATGATCTAAGGGAAGAATTAAATTATCCTGGAGTAACCCAACCAGAATCTGTTCCTTAGTGCCAAGCAAGCTCTGGGCTTTCTCTTACACTCCAACTTACTTTTAACAAATACGTGATGTAAAATGGCTTTTTGAAACAGCAAGTACAACCTGAATACAAAGATTAATACAATTATTAATCTTAAATCACTGCTATTAACTATGGACCCACAAATAGGCAATGTTTTAAAACAGCAATGTTCCCTTTCCGCCCCCCCCTCCTGTCTTTGCTCTCTTCCTGAATTCACCTGGAGATGTCTGACAAGATGAGTAAGTTGTCCAAGGTCTGTGATCTCACCAGTAGAAATGAAATGATTCAGTCAGTGGCGCAGGTGGCAGCCCGGACTATTAGATATCAAGTACAAAATCATTATGCTAATGTCACAGCTGATTAGCAAACAAAGACAGGAGATGGAGGGGAGGGAACAGAGCCAGCCAATTAGCCATGTCTTCACAGTGTCCTTCATAATAACTATGCTTGTTTTGTCTTAAAATTCCTCGCCTCTAGCTCTGTCACTTTCCCCCACTCATAGGTCACCTTGCCTGCTCTCTGGTCGCTGGTCACCAGATGCTCTGCTACTGATGCTCCCCCTACCATGCAGCCCCTTCTCTTTTACTTAGTGAGTATTGTTTGCTCAAATGATTGTGCCCAAAGGGA